GACCAAAGACGTGTAGAAATATGACTTGTTAATTGTGGAATTGTTTGATTTTATTAATAGAGCTTCTCTGATTTTTCTTCTATTAATGTCCGGTTCGTGTTTCAGTACTGTGAAATTCTGTTCACAAAAAGTTTGTTTGTATTCGTTCATATGTTCATGGACTTGAGAAGAGGTTTTTTTTTCGGTGTTCTTTTAACCCGATCTTCAAGTTACGTCCTGTTTCACCTACGTAAAAAGCTGGCCAATTGGTACACATTATTTTGTAAATGTTTCCTGGTGGGGATGGTTTGTTATATAATTTTCTGAACATGTGTTTAATTTTCATTCCAAAGGTGTAAGTGAATCTAGTTGTGATGTTGGCCCGACATGGCCAGGTGATTAGGGGGGCGTTATAATGTGACGGTCAATCCCACTATTCGTTGGTAAAAGAGTAGCCCAAGAGTTGGCGGTAGGTGGTGATGACTAGCTGCCTTCCCTCTAGTCTTACACTGCTAAATTAGGGACGGCTAGCGCAGTTAGCCCTCGTTAACTAAGTTGTTCTTTATTTTTTGACAATGGGATTCTTCGTTGTCCTGCAATTAAGTTGTTCTTTATTTTTCACAATGGGATTCTTCGTTGTCCTGCAATTAAGTTGTTCTTTATTTTTCACAATGGGATTCTTCGTTGTCCTGCAAGTAAGCTGTTCTTTATTTTTCACAATGGGATGCTTCGTTGTCCTGCAAGTAAGCTGTTCTTTATTTTTCACAATGGGATTCTTCGTTGTCCTGCAATGACTCAGATGCGGATTCTTCTTAAGTCCTTGAACTTAAGCCTAGTTGCTATTGAATGGACTTGTGATTTGATAGTATTATTGCCTTCCTGCAGACGTCTTCACGGATGGTTTTTAAATCTTGTTTGTTTGTTTGAAGTTAAGCACAAAGCTACACAATGGGCTATCTGTGCTCTGCCCACCACGGGTATCGAAACCCGGTTCCTAGCGTTTTAAGTCCGCAGACATACCGCTGTGCCACTGGGGGCATTTTTTTTGTAAACTAACACTGGGAGGAGTTACTAAGTAATTAAGACCTATATTTAGGACTATGGTTTGAGATAGTTGAAAGTTGTTGAGATTCCTTATGTTGTTTTTTTACAGTGTCTGGTTCTGTTTTCTTGGATTGTTCTAACAGACGAAGTTTGTCTAGTTTGGTGAATGTTGATTTAAGTACTAAAACCTTCTTCACTTGTGTACTTGAATATGTTAACACCAGTGATCGAAACCTATTCTAAATAACATTCTTCCTTACTGTGAAAGCTGTAACTTGTAATAAAATAATATTAACGCGTTGTTTCGAATACTTTTCTATGACGCTTCATCTTTTGATAACGATGAAAAGTTCAAGATGTCGTTTTGACGTCACTTCCGTTAAATACAAATACTGTTTTCTACAGGAAACATCAAGAGGATGTTCCTAAACTTTCACAACTCACTTGCATATCTAGGTAGTTTTTGGTGTCCATCTTCAATTGAGAATATATATTTCAGCAAAGTCTAGCAGTGTTTTTATATGATTTTGTAAATAATTTTAAAAGAAAAGCGTATTTTTTTACGGTGTCTTGTCCCGCGACACTCTGATGCGTTGCGATCTATAGTTTGATAATCTCCGTTTTCAACAGTCAAATAGAGAACAAAAACCCCCATGGGATCGTAAAGTGCAAACTAGGTTAACGAGATATTAATGCAACACGTAACTTTACACGAAAGAAAATAACCTCTCCTAAATTTAATATATATAACCGAAAATTATTTCTTGTTCATTGTTCAGTACAAACCTTCACAAACTCAAGTTATGTTTAAAATTTCCTTTACGTTTCGTTAGTTCGTCTGGAACTAAAACTCCAACGCAAATATACGATTGCATAATCGCAAAATATCATTCGTTGTGTGCTAGTGTTAACGTTTCGCAAAATATCATTGTTATGTGTTAGTGGTTAACGTTTCGCAAAATATCATTCGTTATGTGTTAGTGGTTAACGTTTCGCAAAATATCATTAGTTATGTGTTAGTGGTTAACGTTTCGCAAAATATCATTCGTCATGTGTTAGTGGTTAACGTTTTCTTTAAAAGGACAAAGGAAAAAACGAGCAAAAAAAAAATAGTTGAATGATTAGGATAATGTAAAAATTTGTATTTGGATATTACGTTTTGCCTTAGTTTATCCTCCACTTCAGAGAACTTGTAGCCAAATACAATATACGTTTCAACCAATAAGTTAGGTTAGCTTATAGAAGTTCCGAATATTAACTTGTGAAAAAAGTTTATTCTGATAGCACGAGAATTTATAACTTACTTTTAAAAGGTTTAATTGAAGATGTTTCTCCTTCATTCGCTATTTGAAGTTTGAGCAGGATGTGTCAATTTATTAGTGTACGTTTCTTCCAGAACTTGATGTTGCCTTGCTCTAACAGACCGAAACGTCGACTATAAACAATTTGTTGTAACAAGTGAAGACGTGCCCTAACAGACCGAAACGTCGATTATAAACAATTTGTTGTAACAAGTAAGACGTGCCCTAACATACCGAAACGTCGACTATAAACAATTTGTTGTAACAGGTGAAGACGTGCCCTAACAGACCGAAACGTCGACTATAAACAATTTGTTGTAACAAGTTAAGATGTGCCGTAACAGATCAAAACGTCGACTATAAAGAATTTGTTATAACAGGTTAAAATGTGCTCTAACAGACCGAAAAGTCGACAATAAAGAATTTGTTGTAACAAGTGAAGATGTGCCGTAACAGATCAAAACGTCGACAACAAACAATTTGTTGTAACAAGTGAAGACGTGCTCTAACAGACCGAAACGTCGACTATAAACAATTTGTTGTAACAAGTGAAGAAGTGCTCTAACAGACCGAAACGTCGACTATAAACAATTTGTTGTAACAAGTGAAGAAGTGCTCTAACAGACCGAAACGTCGACTATAAACAATTTGTTGTAGCAAGTGCAGACGTGCTCCAACAGACCGAAACGTCGACTACAAACAATTTGTTGTAGCAAGTGCAGACGTGCTCCAACAGACCGAAACGTCGACTACAAACAATTTGTTGTAACAGGTGAAGACCTGCTCTAAGAGATCGAAACATTAATTACAAACGTTTTTCCGCAACAGGTGAAGACCTGTGTCAATAGATAGAAACGTCGACTACAAACAATGCGTCGCAACAGGTCAAGACTTTCACTAACAGATAGATACATCGTACAGACGCTACCTCCATACTGGTGAGTAAAGTTTAATACACATTTTCTTCGCTGTTATATTCAGTTGTGTTATTATTTTCAACTGTTAATTATTATCCGTGCGAAATACTTTGCTATTTATAAATGAATCTCCGTTTGTTTGTTTGTTTGTTTAGTTATGTCGCCATTTTCTATTTACATCAACAACAGTAACTACAAGAAACATATTCAATTACTCTATTATTTATATATATTATTATTATTATATTACTATTATATTGTTATTATCATCGAAGGAATACGACGAACGGGTGTATGAATACAAAGGTATATATATACATATCACTAGAGCCTGGCTTGTTTGTTTTTCAACAGACAAACAAAAATTAAACATTTACACAGAGGTAATTGTCATCAAATAGTCCATAGGAGGTCGATTCTTACAGAACTGGTTTGTTTTAATTATGTCGCTGTGTAAATAGTGTTAGAAATATCATTCGTAACAATTGTGTCTCCTAAACAGATTAGATATGAAACTAATCATTAAAATATTTGGTTAAGAATTAAAATATTAAGATGTTTTTAACCGGCATGGCCAGGTGGTTAAGGCGCTCGACTCGCAATCTGAGGGGCGCGGGTTCGAATCCCCGTCACACCAAACATGCTCGCCCTTTCAAAGAGGGAAGGCTGTCAAGTGGGTTGCATCCTTGACGTAAGAAACAGCTTTAGAAACGATGGCAGATCTTGCTCTGTCATCGGCTCAACGGTCCGCAAGGACTATGAAGAAAAAAAAAAAAAGATGTTTTTAAACTTCCATTACAGAATAACCAGACAAATTTCTAAAGGAAACGTTAAACATTTGAGCAGAACTCAAAGGCTAGTTTAGTTTTGAACTAGCCCAAAATTTCAAGCCCTCGATATGTTTGATCATTTTTGTGAATTTACTTTCGAAACATTAAATATACCACAATGGTGGTTCTGCGGTAATTTTACAGAATTCCGCGAGGGGGACACAGCAAACAGCCCAATGTGGCTTTGCTATAAAACAAACGAACAAAATGGTGGCCATGTTTCGAGTCAACTGGAATGGAAATGCTTTTAGCGTTCGGAAAATGTGATATTAAACGTAGGCAGTAAACGGATTATTTAATCACAGTAGTTATTATTATCATTTTGTACAAAGCTTAGCTATACTACGTTATTAAATTGGAAAAAGAAAAATCGGCCAAAATTAAGGAATAAAGTCGTATTTCGTCCACGAGCGGTTTCTGGTTTTCTCAATGTTAAATCAAAGCGTCCAGAAGTATGGCCGATTTAAGGTTCAGATTTTCGATCCTGCTTTTGAACTAAATAAACGTGTAGATTAGGTTAATTAGCCTTAAGCAACTGTTTGAAGGGAATGTTAAAAGTCAAACACTGAATTTTTCATGAACCTTACAGTTAACGACGGTATTTCTTTTTTATTATTTTTATTTCATTTTTTCTATCTACTTCTAGTTGACATATTTAATACAATAAGTATGCAGTACTGGTCAAAGCCTTTACGAATGCTTTAAGCCTATTAAAAGCTACGAAGTATTGGAATCTGTAATATATTTTGTATTTTCTTAGCAGTTGCAAGTATAAATATACAAATTTCAGTTTACAGCATGTGACATTTAACTACGTATATCACATAAAATAAGTTATTAATGCTTGAAAAAAAAGGTGAAATATTTCCATTCATAATGCTTGAAAAAAAGTAAAATATTTCCATTTATATTGCTTGAAAAAAAAGGAAAATATTTCCATTCATAATGCTTGAAAAAAGTAAAATATTTCCATTTATATTGCTTGAAAAAAAAGTAAAAATATTTCCATTCATAATGATATTTTTACCTCGAAAAAGCAGAACTTTAAAACGTTAGAAGGACTTTCAGAACTGCTAAGATTGTTTTTAGAAACAAGTACTCTAGAATGAATATTTCGTTTAGGGACTAACGGTAAGATCGTGGCGATCGGAAGTCAGTTGTGGTTATGATATAATAATTAATTAATTAACTATTCCCATCATTCAGCTTCTAATTTTTCTTCTGACTCCTGGAACGGAAGGTGGCAGCATATTAGCAGCCAAAACGTACGACTTTAGTTAATTATTATTAATAATGTAATAATTACTGGTTAAACTATTTCCAACGTTTCGGCTATTAATCTGATGCCGACTTCACTTCGGGGGATCTTAAGAAGGATAAGCAACCGAAACGTACGGTGTTTGTTAATCAAATGATAATGCAGATAGCTAACGACAAAAGCACAATTTTGTTCTTTGACATTAATTTATCTTTTTTTTTCTCTAATTTTCTTAGTTGTCGTTACGTTTTCGTTTCGGGAACATAAGGATATTTACGAAGACAGGGTTACAAGTGGAATATAGAAACTTCTGCTATCCGTAACTGTTATAAGTACACCTATTGGCAAGCTTCATCATTAGCGTAAGCCTAAATTATTTACTCATTGGTTCAAAACAAAATTATCTTTTGAGAGTCCACAACATTTTGTAACTTTAAATATCACCACAGCAATGTAGCTTAGCTTGTGGTGTTACTATCACTAAAGGGTTCTGGATTTATTTAAATACATTTATTTCTTCGTCATATTTTTAAGATTTACCGTTTATCTTGATAGAATCTGAAGATAATCAACCGGTTTCTTCCTTGACACTTCTTCTTCGGCATCTCCAAACCTAAAAGTGCTAAATCTGATCATCATCAGGGATCACAACATCGGTCATCAGAATCACCGTTAGCATTGTAATCAGTATGGCATATAGGGAGTGCTATACTAATCTTACAGGATCTAAAATCCTCAGATGGATTTCAATTAACACGATAAATCAGCCGGTAGATATTATCAAACCAGCCTGTGTTAACCAGCTGAACAGTAAATCACTGTATTTGTCATTAAGTAATATTATGTTACGATGTTCATGCCACATCTGGCGTCTTTCGAGTTCCACGTCGTCTGTTATTGGGCAAATATTGATATATATACAATACAGTTTTGGTCTAATTACAAAAACGTATCACATCCTGATTAGGTAAGTGCACGAAATTTCCCAAACTCTCGCTGTGCTTATCTAGTTTCCTGCTTTGACAACTGTGAACCATTCAGTCCTCTTTGTTTCGTGGATGGACTAGTAGTGTAGACTAGGACACTTCAAATGTCTGACACATGGTGTGCCTGTCTTTTGGTTTATTAACTATTTACTGAAATAACACCTTCCTTCGATTCCTCTTCTAAATATACAAAACAATCATGAATTATCTCGAAGTAAATCTTTCTTGAGTACTTGACAAAATACAATGTTTAATACACAGCACCACTAGTGACAAAAATTAGTTTAATAAAAAAAAAAAAAAACTAGAAACGACTCTTTTTGTTTTTTTTCAACAATAAGTACTAAGTTTGTGAAGATCTGAATTTCTTGTATCTTCGGTAGTATCCATTTCTGCATGAAGACGGTTTACAACCTTCTCCCCATCCAAAACTGCCATGACAACATTGTCTGGGGGCGAACTAAGAAGATCTGGAAGATCTGGTTCCCAGTCCATTTGTTTCATCTTATTATTTTTCTCGCGCAGATCTAAGTTGAACTGTTGGCTATGTTCTGGAGGAGTTGTGTTAAACATGCAAATATTTGGAACCGTAACACATTCCACGTTTGTACGAAAATTGCTATGGATGTTATCCACTTCTGGTTGTCTTGACAACTCGGGGGTGGAAGCTAGGGAATAGTTATCGTGAGGAAGACTTATTCCGTACACAATCTTATTGGAGGAGGTTGCTGTGTGGGATCTTTCTGAGATTGATGTTACCAGTAGAGGTCGTTGGTCATATCCACTAGAGGATGAATGCTGGCTGAGGTCAGAGTGATCGCCATAATAGTTTTCTGCTGGAGGAAACTGTTTGGTTAAGGATGGCTGATGATTAAAATGTCCTACAATGTCATCTTCAATGGATTCGTAGATATGATCAGCAAAGACACTGTAAAGTCCAGATGAATCAGAGTAGGAACCAGAGGCTGACTGTTTGTTACGAGGAACAACCTGAAACATTTGGTCCTGATGCTGATTGGCCACAAACCCATAACGACCGGGTGAGCTAGTCCTCGATACGTTCGGTGAAGTGGTTCTGTGTCCTTTCCTCCTCGTGGACTCTCCAGGTGCCTGGAGTATGTCATCTTCTTGGTTGATTGCTATTGATGTAGATAGGTGATCTGTTAAAGAACAAGACACCCTGAATTGTTACCGTGCATTGTAGAAATAACCCTTTTTATACAGTTAACAACTGGTGGGCTCCACATAGAGGAACAAGGTACCCTGAATTGTTATCATGCATTGTAGAAATAACCCTTTTTATACAGTTAACAACTGGTGGGCTCCACATAGAGGAACAAGGTACCCTGAATTGTTATCATGCATTGTAGACTAACCCTTTTTATACAGTTAACAACTGGTGGGCTCCACATAGCGGAACAAGGTACCCTGAATTGTTATCATGCATTGTAGACAAAACCCTTTTTATACAGTTAACAGCTGGTGGGCTCCACATAGCGGAACAAGGCACCCTGAATTGTTATCATGCATTGTAGAAATAACCCTTTTTTTATACAGTTAACAACTGGTGGGGTCCACATAGTGGAACAAGGTACCCTGAATTGTTATCATGCATTGTAGTTATAACCCTTACATTACCGATTTGTTTTTATACCGTTGATTACTGGTGGACCCTACATATTGCATTATATTAAGTCATTTTAAGTAATCTAAGTATAAAAAAACTAACACCCATTTTCCATGTAAGATACATTGGAACCCCTAGCGGTATTTAATGGTATTAATTGCAGTATTGTGTGACTCATGTGTTATTATAGACTCTGTAACCAACAAATCGTGTACCCAAAAGGAATTTGGAGCATGAATAGTTCTGACAAATTAAGGTACAAAATCAATGCAGTTTTAGTCCTCATCAGTAATTAGATATTATTAACTTTTATGCATTGTACACTATGCCAATTTGTGGTATGGTCTAACTATATCAGTTTAAACTGTAGATTATATACCTTTTTTTAACAGGCCCCTCACGAGCCAGTGGGGGAAATTTTTGTTGAAAAAAAAACTACCCAATCCGGTTTTTCTTAATTTGAACTGAAATTTTTGGACATTTTTATTGGCTAAAAAGAAAGCATTTCCTGCACTCTTTTGACGTTGGGGCTGCAAAAAAGTGATTTGAAGGGGTAAGGTGACTGAAATCGGTCAGCGAATCACGAGCTTAACAGCCAAGCACAAGAAGCATGGAAGTCTCCAAATGGCACGCAGAGGTTTCAAGAACCATTTAGAGCTACCTTGGTAGATATTGTGCAGCAAACCGAGTACAATATTATGCCTGTAGCTTCTATCAAAGTATTCCTGTCTGCTCATCCTACTGCTGACTATCGTGATGCTTCGACCTTCCCTACCGAATCGCGGGTGAAATCGTTCGTATCTCAATTAAAAGCTAAACATAAAAAGGTGATAGCAGAAGCATAAAAGGTTGGCAATTGTTTAATTAATGATGGTGAGAATGTGGCTGTATTGGTATATACTGAATTTACTCCCAGTAGATAGACCTTAATACTAGCTAGTAGTAGTATGGAGACTTGAGGATGCTGTATTTCACTTAACAAATGTCAATTAACAAACGAAAACTTGTCTCAAAGTTGTCTCGAAAAGATACGTCCAAAACCACCCTCTTTGGGAGTTTCCGGATTAAACTTACTTTTAATATTCAACAAATTGTAGTGTAAAGACACACCCTTGGCTCCTGAGGGACGTGTTAAATACTTAACATAAGCAAGTGACTGTTTTTTATTTTAAGACATTGAGATAAAAAACAACATGAAACAAAATTGAGGTTTTAGTTAATCACTTACTTTGCATGGTGAACTTTGGGGAAGTAAAACAGTTCTGTGCTTGAATGATCCTGAGAGGCTGCGGGACCTGCCAAAAATCAAGTTGTTCAAGATCTCCCGACGTGTTTTGGACAAAAGAAGTTTGAAATTTGATTACTTTCGTTAGAAACAGTGGTATAATTAGCTGATGTCAACTGATTTCGTTAAACTTCTGCTCCTACTTGTTGACGACTCTTGTGTTTCAAAATTATCTTATAACTACTACTAAAAACTGTACCTTCTATTTAGATGTGAACTTTTCATGACAGAATCTGAAATTCTTATCGTTATTTATTTTCACCAATAAAAGTAATGCTCAGTTTATTATTACCCTCGCAGGGCGAGGGCATTCCAATCGTTTCCGTGTGCGTGTTTCCGCGAGCGTATTGTTTGTTTGTTTGTTGGATTTCGCGCAAAGCTACACGAGGGCTATCTACGCTAGCCGTCCCTAATTTAGCAGTGTAAGACTAGAGGGAAGGCAGCTAGTCATCACCACCCACCTCCAACTCTTGAGCTACTCTTTTTACCAACGAATAGTGGGATTGACCGTTACATTATAACGCCCCCACGGCTGAAAGGGCGAGCATGTCTGGTGGGATGGGGATTCGAACCCGCGACCCTCAGATTGCGAGTCGAGCGCCCTAACCACCTGGCCATGCTGGGCCACTCCGCGAGCGTATCTCAAAAACTAATAAATCGATGTACACGAAAATTTTACACAAGATGGGAAGTCAGTATGGACAGTCTTCTCCAATTTTGGTCCGGATCCAAATCCTGATTCGGATTCTGGACAGTCTTCCCCACATTTGGTCCGGATCCAAATCCTGATTCGGATTCTGGACAGTCTTCCCCACA